CCAGGCTCCCGAAAAAAACGGCACCACAGCTGTCTGAAATGTCTTGGCCAGACGGGTTGTCTGGATAGCCTCGGCCATCTTCACATCAAATTGTAATCTTGCTACTCCAGATGTCGTAATAAAGGGAGGGGGGTCTTATTTCGGGGGGGTCTCTTCCAGGCTATCTTGGAGGGCCTGGGGGGTCTGGGGACGATGTTCTGGAGGGTTCTCCCACGGGGGGGGTCTGAAATGGCTTGTCTTGGAGGGTCCAGACCCCCTCCCTTTTATTACGAAATCTGGAGTAGCCTCGGCCATCTTCACATCAAATTGTAATATTGCTATGCGTCTCCTCTGCTCGACCACCATGTTCGCCACGAGTGCGCGGGATACTGTCTCGGATCCCATCCTCTTCCGCCGTGGAAGCTCGCGGAGTGCGCACTTCGCCCAAGGGATCGCCCCGGTGTCGCGGCGGCCCTGCCCATGCACGCGACCATGGACGCGAGCCTCGGAAGATACTGCCTGGGTGAACGGTGGGGACGAGAAGGGGGGAGGAGAAGGAGGAGGAGGAGGAGGAGGAGGAGGAGGAGGAGGAGGAGGGAGGAGGAGTTGTTGGAGGGAGGAGGAGGAGGAGGAGGAGGAGGAGGAGGAGGAGGGGGAGGAGGAGAGGAGGAGGAGGAGGAGCAGGAGGAGGAGGGGGGGAGGGGAGGAGGAGGAGGAGGAGGAGGAGGAGGAGGAGGAGGGGAGGAGGAGGAGAGAGGAGGAGGAGGAGGAGGAGGAGAGGAGGAGGAGGAGGAGGAGGAGGAGGAGGAGGAGGAGGGGAGGAGGAGAAGGAGGAGGAGGAGAAGGAGGAGGAGGAGGAGGAGTGTCTGGGGCACAATCGAGGCATGGCCACGAGGACGAGGACCAGGAGCACGAGCGCCCTCCCCAAAGGCCAAGGGTCCCCACGGAGAGGCACCGGACGGCGAAGGGCAGTCCAGGGCTCAGAGCCCCAGGCGCGATGACGAGAAGGGTGCCCCTCCAAGGACAGGACTCCTCTTCGTCCTCCTCCCTCTCCTCCTTCTCCTTCTCCTCCTCCTCCTCCTCCTCCTCCTTCTCCTCCTCCTCCTCCTCCTTCTTCTCATCCTCCTCCTTCTCCTTCTCCTACTCCTCCTTCTCCAAGGGTGACCCTCCTCCTCCTCCTCCTCCTCCTCCTCCTCCTCCTCCTCCTCGAGGGTGAGGGCACCGGGGCCATCCTTGACATTGCGCTCCGTCAGGTGGCTCAGCTCGAGCTCCTTGCAGAAGTGCTCCAGCTGCTTCTTCTCGTCCTACCCCCTCCCGAGCATCGGGGAGCCCCCGGCGGTCGTCGCGGCTGGTCACGCCGAGGAGGGGAGGGGAACGGAGGAGGTGGCGGGGGGAGAGGAGAGGACAGAAGGGGGAGGGGCGGAGGGGAGGAGAGCACATACCCCCTCGAATCATGAAAAAACACACGACGGGATTTTTGTTCGCTGTGTTCGGCCTCTGGGGGCCCCTACCGGGCCTCGGGAGCGTCAAAATACGACTCTGGCTAAGAAACTGGTTCCGCGGAACGGGTCGAGACCTTTGGGGGTCGACGCTCTGGAAGCGCACGACGTCGGGGGGTCTGGGAGGGGAGGGTGGGCGAGGACGCGCGCAGCTCACAGCAGCCCAGGGGAGGGGCAGCAGCTCGCGATGCGTCAGAGCAGCAGCCACACGCCGAAATCATTCGCCTCCCCCGCTCCCTCCCCCTGCCGTCACCCCAAGCCTCCTCCGCGAGGGGCAGCGATAGGGGGGGACTGGCACAGGGGGGGGTGCATCGACCTGGAATCGGCGACACCTCGCCGATGGATCGGCGATGGGCCTTCGAGAGTGAATCCGCACCCTCCTGGGCAGGTTGGGGCTATCGGGCCCCTGTAGACGATCCATGGGCGATTGGGGGTCGATGCATCCCCCCCTTATGCCTATCCCCCCCTATCGTTGCCTCTGCCTCCATCCATCCACCCCTTCCTTCCCGCCGGGCCGCTCGGCTCTCTCTTGATCAAGCGAGGATCCCAACGGCCGCGTGCCACATGAGCAACAAAAACGCCATCGCCTGGACACCCTCGTCCATGGCGATGGCCTCAACTTCGACTCATGAATTTGCCTCCTCCCTCCTTACCTCCCTCCCTCCCAAGGCATCCGACGACGTGATTTCCTTGCAACGCGGCTCCCCAAATGCCTGGACCCCTCCAGGGACCAGCTTTTCATCCCGAGTCGTTTTTGACGGCCCTGGGGCCAAGCGAGGGCCCCCAGAGGCGAGAAGCTGAAAACCAGCCGCTGTGTGTGTGTTAGGCTCATCCGCGCGAAGAAGTCGGGGCCTCTCCTGAGGAGGAACGTTCGGGGGGGGCCTCTCAGAGGGGAGAGCATCGAGCTGGAATCGGCGACACGCCGCCCGGAAAACGACGCAGAAGGATGGGGTCTGGGGCTCCGGTCTCAGGGCAGGATGGGCGAGGTGGCCAGCCGACGCCCCCGGATCCCGCCTCCCGAGCTCGGGTGCTGCCAGAAGTGTCCCACGGGCGCAGGCGCCCCCTGCTTCTTGGCACCAGCCTGGGGCCCCTGGGCCTCGCGAGAGGCGCTCCGGAGACCACCTGCGCCTCCCCGGGAGTCCTGGGAAGGCCTTGGGTCAGGGGCGTCTCTAGCTTCAAGTCGGGCATGTCCCTCTACAGGGGGTATATTCAAAAAGAGAAGAAATAGCACGGGGACGATGTTTTTCTCCAGAAAGGCTTGCCCTATAGGAGTTCGAACTCAAACCCTACTAATTGGTCCGTTGCCCCCCCTAATTTCTATGCCCCCCCAATTCCTATGGCTATGCCTATGCCTATGCCTATGCTCCCCCCGAACTCCTATGCCTACGCCTATGCCTGCGCCTATGCCTATGCCTATGCTCGCTTCCGCTTGCTTGCTTCCGCTTGCTTGCTTGCGCTTGCTTGATTTTGCTTCTCCCGTCCTCCTCCCGTCCTGCTCCCGTCCTCCTTTCGTCCTCCTCCCATCCCCCTCTCGTCCTCCTCCTCCTCCTGTCCTCTTATCTATTTAGAGTCAACGCTGGCTGATATTGTTTTCTTTTGTCTCATCTTTCGAAAAGTTTAAGCTATTTTATTGTTTCGTCCAAAACCCGCCTGTAGGGGGACACACCCGACCTAACTCTAGCTCGCTAGCTTGAAGGCGGCTGGGGGGTCGCCCTGGGTGAGCACCCAGCAGAGGGCAGGCCCGGAGGGGAAAGGGTGCAAATTCGGCATCCAATTCCCATCTGGGGAGGCGGCCGACAAGGGACTGGGCACGAAACCTATGTACCCAGACATCTGGCTGCCCCCATTCTTCCGATGCGTGGGCCCCGGAGGTTTGCACCACCTCCCCAGGGCCGGCTTTTCGTCACATGAGACGTGTTTGGACAGCCCCGAGGCCCGGCGAGGGCCCCCGGAGGCCGAAAGTTGCCAAAGACCCGCCGCCCCAATTTTTCCCCTGCGCCGGCTAGAAGTAGAGGGCAGAAAATCCATCCCGACAATAACCACCCCGATACGCGAAGCCGCTTGGCAAACGCGCCCAAAGAAGGCATCAAACAGCGCAGGGCTGTTTAGGAAACGCCCAGGGCCCCGCAGTAAACGCCAATTGTCCCGTCCGGGTGGTTTTTTCCTCCCTTGAATTATGTCGGGCCTGTCCCCCTACAGGGGGATTTTCGACGAAAAAAAAATCAAAAAATAATCAAAAAATAGTCCCAAAATAGGACTATGTTTTGGATACTTGTCTACCTTTTTGGGGCATTTGCAGGGTATCTTTGATTCTTCGTCGCCAATCCCCCCTGTAGGGGGACAGGCCCGACTCAACCCTTGAAGAAGCGAGCGATGTTCCACCTCGGCCCCCCCATTCGGGGATCTTCTGACCCGGGTCAATCCAGACCCGGGTCAGCAGGAAACCAAAAACTGCAATGCAGGAAAAAAAAACTGCAACGCAGGTCTTCGCAAACCCGGGTCAGCCAATATGCGCGGCCGCCCCGCGGCCACGAGCGGCTCGCCAACCCGGGTCAGCCAGAGGGGGTCTTCGCAGGATCCTGCAGGATTTGGTGCCCTGGCTGACCCCCGTTTGCATTGACCCCCGTCTCAAGGCTCCCGACCCATGCCCGCTCCAACCTCGGGCAGCGCCCCCGGGCCCGAGCGGCGGCGCTCCCGGCGCGGGCGCCGGGCCGCGGCGGCGCGCCCCGGCCCCCCGAGCGGCCCCCTCCTCGCGGCGGCACTTGCAATATTTGTTCGGGGGTGGCACTATTTTTCGGGGATGGCAATATCTTTCGGGGATGGCAATATATTTTCTTCAGAGACCCCGACTCGCGCACGACTGAAGCCCTGTGCTTGAGGTACCCCCATGGTTTAGAGGTCCTGCTCTCGATCTCTCTCTCTCTCTCTCGAAATAGTCGTCGAAAGTGGCAATGTGTCCCGGAGGCTTTGAAACCTTCGCCCCTCGCGGCCATTGACGGTCGGCGCCATCGGGATGTCATCTTTAAGCCGTGGTGCACCAGGGCCACTCTTCCAGAGGGGCTGCCCATCAAGCCTGGCATGCTCCGTCCAGGACAAACTGCCCAGTATGTAGCATGTTTCGGGGATGGACCGACCCCCCTTTAGTACAACGGGGTTTCGTGAAAACGCCCACGGGCCCAAACCTGGCGGGCGCGAGCCTGGAAATCGACGGCCGCGGCGCCCTCCCGAGAACCGAGAGCGGACAATTCACTGATCGACGTGTCAGGGTGGGGGTTCTGTCCACCCCCGACGCTTTCACAACGGGCGGCTTCGCCCCGTTTCGGGCCCCGGGGCCCCCACAGCAGGTCCACCCGGCTCGAAGAGCGACGCAGAAGGAGGGGGTCCAGGGCTCCAGGCGATGCTGCGCGATGCTACAGCTTTTTGCTGCGACGTCGGATCTCGGGGAAGGGGGTGTGGGGGAGGGGGGAAGGCATCCCAGGAGGCTGCTCCTTAGAGGGCGCCGGCCCTAACTACATCCATGCGTCGGAGGCCCGCGCCTCCTGAGCAGCAGGAGGGTGCTTCTGAGAAGCCCTCTCCCCCATCCCCCTTGAACAGATCCCCGCTGCCCGCGGCGGATCCTTCTTCGCGAGGATCTCGCCGACCAGGCCCGCGATCTGCTTCGGGATGCGGTCGACGTACTGCGGCTTCAGCATGGCCTTTATTCTGTCCTGCGCGCGAGCACAGGCGGCACCAGCCGCCGCGGCGGGGCCGCCTCTCCAGCCTCTCCAAAGACAGCGCGCCGAGGGCCGAACCGTCGTCGTCGTCGTGGTCGTGGTCGTGGTCGTCGTCGTCGTCGTCGTCGTCGTCGTCGCCCTCCTCGTCTCGCCGGCGTCGCCAACACCGTCCTCGTCGCCATCTCGCCTGTGCCCTTGTCGCCGCCGCCCCCGCACCCGCGCCTCGGCGGCCGCCGCCTCCCCGCCGGGCCGCCCGCGTCGGCTGGTGGACAGACCTGCCTTTGGTGAACCGCCCTTGACTGAAAACGGCCGTCGGGAGGCCCTTTTGACCCTTTCGGGCCTTCTTGGAGGACGTCTTGGAGGGCTCTTGGAGGGCCTCTCTGGGGGCCTCTTGGGGCCGTGGCTTGGGCCTCTTGGGCGATCTTTGGGGGCACTTCGGCCTGGGACCGAAGCCGACGGACCCGGACCCGCAGAAATGGCGGCCGCGACGCCCTCTCGCGAACCGAGAACGGCCAATTCGCTAATCGACGTGTCAGGGCAGGAGGTCTGTCCATCGGCTGCACGCAAGAGTGACCCTGGGTAATAGTGACCTTTGGTGCGCGACTGTTGGGTGGCCGCGGGGGGGCCAAACCCAGGCGCGCAAGACGCTACTATCGCATCGCGTTCGGTGATCGGGAGACCCCATTGAGCCCGCACCAAACCCAGACATGCGACGTCCTGATTTTTTCAGGACGGCGTCCCTGGAAGTCCCAACCCTCTCTCCCGGGGGACGGTGTTTCATCCTGAGTCGTTTTCTGACGGTCCCGAGGCCCAGCGAGGGCCCCCCAGGGCTGAAAATTGCCAAAACCAGCCCGTCCTGATTTTTGTTACGACGCCATCATGTCTGGGAAGGTCACTCCGGCGAAAGGTCACTCTTACGTGTAGTCGAGTCCGCCCCCGCCCCCGCCCCTTCCCGTGGACGCTGCCCTCCTCCTCCTCCTCCTCCTCTTCTCCTCTTCTCTTTCTTCTTATTATTAGTACTATTTTTCTTCTTATTATTATGTCTATTATTATTAGTATCATTATTATTATGATTCGTACTAGTATTGTTAATAATATTGTTATTAGTGGTATCATTACTACTATGAGTAATGTTATTAGTGTTATTATTAATAGTATTATTATCATTATTATTATTATGATTATTATGATTATTATTATGATTATTATGATTATGATGTTGATTAGTATTCTTAATACTACTTTCATATTAGTATGATTCTTATGATTATTACTATTATTATCAGTAGTAGTAGAAGTAGTAGTAGTAGTAGTAGTAGTAGTAGTAGTAGTAGATTCCTCTTCCTCCTCCTCCTCCTCCTCCTCCTCTTCCTCCTCCTCTTCCTCCTCCTCCTCCTCCTCCTCCTCCTCCTCCCCTCCCCTCCTCCCCTCCTCCTCTCCTCCTCCTCCTCTCCTCCTCCTCCTCCTCCTCCTCCTCCTCCTCCTCCTCCTCCTCCTCCTCCTCCTGGGGCTCTCTACGTCGTGCAAGTGCCCGCCCGGGTTGTAGGCCTGGGAAGGGGCACCAGCACCAACACAGGGGGGCTGCCTCCACAGGGGGAAGACGCTCCTGGACTTCGGCGCCGGTGGCAATCTCTCGATCTCGGCCACCTGGGAAGCCCGAGCAGCACCCCCGTCACCGAGACCGGGATCTTCTGCCCGCGGTGGAGGCACACCGCCGACACCGGTGGTGGTGCCCACCTCCAGGCCTGCGACACTGCTCGGCTGGTCGGCTGCGTCCGACTCCCGCGGGGGCTCGCTGCGTCGTGCGCGGGCCCGCAAAGGGCGGAGCAGGCGTGCTGGCGGCGCCCCTACCCGACGCTTCACCGCTGGCTGGCTGGAACTGAAAGGGGCCCTGGGGCACACAAATAAATACACACAACAAACAGGATTCCCCATATTTTCCCATATTTTCGTTTTTTGTCTTCCCCCCCACTTCCCATAGTTTCCCATATTTTCTGGTGAATCGACGAGTACTTGTGTCAGTGTGATTTGTCCCTCCTGAGTAACTCACTGGAGCGCCAGAGGGAAAAAGTGCGCCTACGACTCGGAAACCTGGGGCCAGAAGGGGAAGGCGAGACCAGACGGTCAGCAGCGCGAGCCGGGACCGAACGAAGACTGCGTTCCCTCTCGCACGAAGATGTAACCAGTTCGTCACGCCAGCCCCCGGGGATCTCGACCACTGCTTGCCCAGAACCTCCTTTCCATCCTGAGTAAGGTTTGCTGCGGCCCCGGGACCGGGAAACAGCGCCCACAGGCCGCCAACGAGGAGAAACCGGCCGTCGAGATCTGCGGCCAGCTTCTTGCTGCGGCAGCGGCAGCGAGGGCCTCCGTCGTCCTCCGTCGGAGGAAGGAGAGGGGGATCGATGCTGGGATTCCAGGAGGAGGAGGAGGAGGAGGAGGAGGAGGAGGAGGAAGAGGACGAGAAAGGAGGAGGGGGAGGGGAGGAGGGGGGAGGGGGGATCGACGCTGGGGACTCCTGGGTCCGGGAGTGGACGGTCCAGCGGGTTCGGCTGGAGAAGCCGCGCTCGCCACGCCCTGCGGAGAGGAGCTGCGGCAGAAGAAAGTGGGGGGAGGAGTAGGGGGGAGGAGGAGGAGGAGGAGGAGGAGGAGGAGGAGGAGGAGGAGGAGGAGGAGGAGGAGGAGAGGAGGAGGAGGGGAGGAGGAGGAGGAGGGGGAGGAGGGGGGGAGGAGGAGGAGGAGGAGGAGGAGAGGAGGAGGAGGAGGAGGGGGAGGAGGGGGAGGAGGAGGGAGGAGGAGGAGGACGACGAGGAGGAGGAGGAGGAGGGAGGAGGTGGAGGAGGAGGAGGAGGAGGGGAGGAGGAGGAGGAGGAGGAGGAAGGAGGAGGAGGAGGGGGAGGAGGAGGGGGAGGGGGAGAGGGCCTGAGACGGGCGGCGCACGGCTTCGGCCGCGCTGTCCTCCAGCAGGCCCTTGATGTACCCCTGCAGCTCGCTGCCTCGGAAGTGGGCCAGGATCTCCTGCCAGTCGGGTGGGTTTTCGAACCTGGGCGCGCGGGCGCCGGCGACGGCCGCGGAGGCCCCCCGGAGGGGTCGGGCCGCGTCAGGGAACCCGGAGGAGCGGATGGGCCCCGGACATCCGATGCCTTGGTATTTTGAGCACAGTCAACCCGTAGAGTGAGGATGCTCGATAAGGATGCAAGGGCCTTGGAAGCCCATTTCGAAGCTTTTCGAGCGGGGCGCGGCCAACGAAGGTGGCCAAGGATGGACCGAGGAGGCAAGGATGCAAGGGTGCCCTTGGGAAGGTGAACCATCCTTACAGTGCGGGTTGACTGTACGGGGCCCCGGGGAAGTTCCGACCCTTTCCCCAGGGTCGGCTTTTCGTCCTGGGCCGTTGTTTGACGGTGGAGCACGTTTAAAAGCCGCGGCGATAACGGGCGTTATGGGGGGATGGAGGAGGAGGAGGAGGAGGAGGAGGAGGAGGAGGAGGAGGAGGAGGAGGAGGGCGTTATGGGGGGGATGGGCGTTATGGGGGGGATGGGGGGGGGCATAGCGCAACGCCCTGCCCCACGCCGTGGGGTCCGGCACCACAAACGGTGGTGCCAGACGCACCGCGGCGGTGCCAGGGGCGCACTCGCGGAGGGGGGAGCGTTACGCTGTGGGGGGGAGGGGAAGGAGAAGGGGCATAGCTCGGGTCGGGCGAAAGGGGGAGATAGCTCAGGGGGGGCTTGAGAATCAGCTCACGTAGCTGATTTTCCCGGCGCCTCCCGGCGCCGGAGGCGGCTATGTATCGAGGCATGGGCCCCTCGGTGAGGCCGAAACCAGCTGCATGCAGCAAATTTCGTACCCCCCCCCTCTCCCAATCCCCCCCCTTCGCCCGGCCCGGATAGCGCGCGCGATTGCCCGGAGGGTAAGACACCACTCTCCAGTCCAGGGGCCTGGCGAGGCCGCCACCAGCAGCAAATGGGCAGAGGCCTGGCGTCGTGGCTTTGCTCCCGACGCGAGGGGGCCTGGTCCGAGGATGGAGAGTGCGAGGATGAAGGGGCCCCAGGACACACAAATAAATACACACAAATAAAAAGATTCCCCATATTTTCCCATATTTTCTGGGTTTTTGTCTTCCCCCCCACTTCCCATACTTTCTTATATTTTCTGGGGAATCGCCGATTAATTGTGTCTGTGTGTTTCTTTCCCTCCTGAGAGGAGAAGGGCGCGCACACGCCGGGGCGGTGGGCTGGGAGCCGGCCGAGGTTGGGCTTCACCTTCCCGCTGAGGATCGACAGGGCGGTGGACTTGCCGATGCCGTTGGTGCCGACCAGCCCCAGCACTTGGCCTGGGGTCCAGGGGCGGGGGAGGGACCCAGAACCCCCTCGCGTCGGGTTCCCCGACGGGTGCACCGATGCCCTTCCTCGAGGCGGCTTTCGAAGGGGGAGGGAAGATCACGCCAGGCCCCGGGACCGTGAACACAACGACTCGGGGTGAAAAGCCTGTCCCGGGGAAACGTGTCGAGACATCTGGGGGTCGACGCTGCCAGAAAACAACAACAAAACATGACGTCGGCGGTCTTGGGAGGAAGAGGGAAGGGAAGGGCGGCGGGGGGAGGGGAGGGTGAGCAGGGGAGGTAAGATGGAAGGGTTGACAGAAGGGCGAAGAGGTTGAAAATGATGCGGAGGCCAGGGGAGCAGACAGGGGAGGAGGAGGAGGAGGAGGAGGAGGAGGAGGAGGAGGAGGAGGAGGAAGAGCGAGGGAAAGAGGAGGAGGACGACGAACGCCGAGCGTCAAAGGAGGAGGGGAGGATAGAGGATAGAGGAGCAGAGGATGGCGGGCAGGAGCGGAGGCCGACGACCCTGCCCTGGGGTTCGCCCCTCCGCCCCTCCGTCTTCTCCAACCTCCCTTTTAGCGTCGCCCGCCTTTCCCCTCCTGCCCTTCCATCCCCCATCTCCGGCCCTCCTCGCCCTTCCTCCCCACCTCCTCCTCCTCCACCTCCACCTCCTCCTCCTCCTCGTCCCCTCTTCCTCTCGTCACTCGCCCACCACCACCACCACCACCACCACCATCCATCATCATCATCATCATCATCCTCCTCCTCCTCTCCTCCTCCTCCTCCTCCTCGTCGTCGCGTCATCATCATCATCATCATCATCATCATCATCATCATCATCATCATCATCATCATCATCATCATCATCATCATCATCATCATCATCACCTCACCATCACCATCACCATCACCATCACCATCATCATCATCACCACCACCATCATCATCATCAGCATCATCATCACTATCACCATTACCATCACCATCACCATCACCACCACCACCACCATCATCATCATCAGCAGCAGCATCACCTTCATCACCATCATCAGCTTCATCGTCGTCCTTTTCATCATCACCATTATCACAACCATCATAATCATCATCACCAGCACCATCACCATCATCATATCATCACCATTACCATCAACAACATCGTCATCACCAGTATCACCACCATCACCATCATCAGCACCATCATCCTCATCATCATTATGTGCATCATCATCAGTGTCAGCATCATCACCACCATCATCATACTGATCATCATCATCATCATCATCAGCATCATCATCATCATTCTCATCAGCAGCCGCACCATCATCATCATCATCATCATCATCATCATCATCATCAACATCATCACAACCATCATGTGGTTCTGTTCAGAAAACAAACATATCCGTGAACATTGAAGGGTCTGACAGCATTGCCAGCTGACTCGGCGCCAGAAGATCGAAGACAGAGAAAAACAGTTCAGGATCCCCTAGCTATGCCGAACAGGAGGGTGGAAAAGGGCACGCTTGGGGATAGCCGAAGAAACTTGAGCCATCGTGTCAAAGGGCCGATGGATTAGGACACCAGAGCTCTCTCTCTCCCTCTCTCTCTCTTTCTCTCTCTGTCTCTCAATATCTTGTTTTGTCTCTTTCCGCAAACAACATTCCCGAGCAAGCACATTCATGAGATCCCGCTCATTTCTCACCTCCAGAGTGGACAGACATCTTCGTGAGCACTGAAGGGCCTGACAGCACGGCCAGCAGACTGGGCGCCAAAGATCGAGGGCACAGAAACACAGCTCAGGATCCCAGCCCCAAGATTTGGAACTGGCCGAAGGCAATGTGCCAAGCGCTTAAAATTATCACAGTAAACACAGAAACGCTCGACAAACAACTGAGGGTACGGCTGTGCCACCAGGGTTTGAAACGTACCTGCCGCGCTCTTCTCCTCCAGGTGGCTCATGTCTCTTATTCGCGACCGGACAGCGGCCACGGCTCATGCAACACTTCTGGTTCGCACAAAACTCTGACATCGAAAAAGCGAGCAATGGCGTGGCATTCTCCCACGGGGTCCCATACTGGCAAAACTGGCGGTGTAGGTTTCAGCCCCTAGCCGCCTAAGTGCATTGAAAGGTCTTGTGGGCCAGATCCTGGAGGTCATCGGGTTTTCGATGATGGCCCGGACCTCGGAGAGAATGCAATCGCGAGCGAGAGCCGCTGAGGGCCGCACCAGGGCATTGCCCAAGCGGGCCTTCTGAAAATCCTTGTCGCCGAGGCCCGGGGGGCCAGCCCCCCCCCCCCTCGGGTTCCGGACATGGAGGCGCAAAGGGCCCGGGCCAGACGAGGCGACAAGCGGGGGCAGCGGCAAGGGAGGGCGAGCGAGAGGCCAGCACTAAGGATGTCCTGGTCAGTGGCACGGGCGATATCAAACGCGTAGACCCCGAAGCCTCAGCGCGCCAGTTCGACGGAGAAATGCAGAGATTCCGCAAACACCTCGACGCAGTAGCCTCGCTTCCTCTGGACGACCGACGGCAGCTCAACGATGCCACCAGGGCCGCGGGCGGCGTCGCCGCGACCACGAGAGCGCGAGGCTGCGCCGCTGCTGGGAGCCGAGCCTCCTCGCGCTGGAGCCGGGCCGCCGCCTCGCATCGCCTCGTCGAGGCGTCGGCGCTCCAGCGCCCCTGCTGCTTCACCTCCAGCGGGGCCATTACATTGCCCTCTCGTCCTCCGAGTGGCCGCCGCGCCTGAGCTGGCGCAGCACGCGCAAGCTCTCAAGGCCGACGCGCAGCTGGGCGGCCTGGAACAGAAAGATGAACCACGGCGTCGATCGGCACGGCCTCCAGCGGCGCCTGGCCCACGAACAGCCTCCGGGGGTGGTCGAAGAGGAGGCTCTCGTTGGTCGCCATGGCATCCGATGCAGGTAGATCGCCGCGAAGCTCGAGGTCGGACGCGACGGAGCGACGACGTCGGCCTGCTGGAGGCCCAGGCCCCCTGAGGGCCGGAGGTGACACGCGAAGCACAGCGCCGCCAGCAGCGCCAGCAGCGCACCCCCCCCCCCAGTCGATCATCACCTGCGCCACCAGCGCCGCGACGACCCAGGGCATCAGCGGCCGCGCCACCGCCGGGCGCAGGCGACCCCGAGCCTGGGGGGCGCGAAGGGCGCGAGGCACAGACGCCCCCCCTCTTGCCCACCGACGGGCATGTCGCCTGCCAGGCAGCGTAGAGCACCTGCCCCGCAGCACGGTCATCGCCGTCGGCGTGCATCTCTTCCGCCAGATCCGCCATCGCCACCTCGGCGGCCTCCAGCGAGTTCGCCCAAGGCCCGACGGAGGAAGAGCGCGTGGAACCCCCGCAAGGCCCGGAGGCACCTCAGCCAGGAGGTCGGCCTCGAGGCGGACGGCGCCAGGTCGCTGGCGACCCCAAGCCGAAGCGGAGCGCGACGTCCTGGATGTCGCGCAGGAGCTCCGACGACAAGGGCATCGACCTGGTCTGCCGCGCACTGGCCTCGCACGAAGCAGGGCGCCTCCCGACAGCGCGGGCGGGCGCCTTCACCTTCCCAGGGGCGCGACCCGCCACCGGCGGCGTTCAGCTCCGACGTATTCATCGGCGCCGCACCCGAGCATCGGCCGCGAGGGACAGCGCGAGGAGCAGATGGCAGATGCCCGGCAGCCAAGGGGAGGACGCCCCCCTGCTCCGAGGCCAAAAATGAACGAAAGATCACCCCCAAGATGCAGGCGCGAAAAGCCGATAGACCCAACCGAACGGAGCTGATACCTCAGGACCGCCACTGGGCCCCTGCCATCAAATACAATGATGCTCTCGGCCTCCAGGGAAGAAGCAGCGAAATCGAGTTGCCAGCCCTTGGGGCCCAGGAAATCATGGGAGATCTGGACGAAGATCGGGTTCTCGTCCAAGACCTCTGGAGCTCCTTGAGCGCCCATGGGTTTGGCGGCGTTGACGTGCCTGAAGACATCCGTACCTGCGACTGCGCGTTCACGAGCTCGGACCGCTGCGACCCCGGCCCCACGCCCAGCCCTCCGGCGATCTCTGGAGTCATCGCCCTGGAACACACCGAGTATCCAGACAAGCAGGCGTCTGAAGAAGCAACCCCGGGGCTCCATGACTGGTCGAGCCGAGCCCGGCAAAACGGCGGCAGCGACGCGAGCCGCCCGATCTCACGGCGGACGGAACCCCAGACGCGGCAGCGGCTATCGGCGCGAGCCGCCACGCAGGAGTACCGGAGATGGAGCATGGCAAACATTCCAAGCGCAATGCCCCACGAATCGCCCCACTTTGCCGCCGACGCGGGGGCGCCGGAGCAGCCGCGGGCCCGCTGCCCTCAGCATCTCCAACTTGCGATGCGTTGGAACCACCGCCCTCTCGCGGCCCATGACCTCGTGGCCCGGGGTGACAGCGCCCGCCGAGGGGACGAAGCTCTCGTGGACCACGGAGCCGATGCGACGGAAGTGGCCGACGAGCTCATCTCGGACCTCACGTTGTCGGCACAAGCCAGCGAGGCGGGCGCCCCGCCCGTCGTGGGCGGCGCAGGGCGGTCGTGACACAGCACCCTCTCAGCAGGCGCGGCCCCGCTGCACGGCGCCTGGCGGTAGACGACGCGCCGAGCAACCCGCGTCGCCCAGTCCCAGCCCATCGGCACCAAGGCGAGGCTGGGGAGCGCGATCGCGCCGTCCCGGAGCGCCTCGAGGTCGGGCGGTAGCCCACAGCGCCCCCTCAGAAGGGCCGCATCGAGCCTGGGGAAAGCGAAGAAGCCCGACAGCTCGGGAGCCATCGCCACGCGGTAAGCTGGCGAGATCCGCCTGCGCCGCGTCGACCTCACGCCCCCGGTCGAACTCCAGATCTGCCAGCCTGCTGCCTGAGAACACGTGGAGCTCAGGGCACTTCGCGAACCGCGCGTTAACCGACCTGCGTTCCCAGGCGACGCGGAGCTCCCCGTCTTCTAGCGAAAGAAGAAAGATATACAGATCTTGGGTCCTAGCCGCGTAGCGCAACGCGCGC